TTGACTGTTGGTTAAAAACACTCTTTAAAACACTTTTTATACTGCTTGGGTTAAGTTGGCTCTTTGTTTTTGCAGTTTTTTTGCGGAAACTTATTTTTGATTGTATTTATTTAGTATTGATGTACACTAAGGTTATTCCGAGTAAATTTAGTGAAAGTTAGAGTAAGCGTAGATGCTGCATGGTGGGTTAGTGAGGCCATAGAGCAATCTGAGGCCTCACTTATTTTCCTAGGCAATCTGAGGCCTCAATCTGAGGACATCATTTATTTTCTGGTACGTGAGACAGTAATAAGAACATACTAGAGGAGGTTTGTGCGATAAAGTTGAAGATCTTTACAATTTTTTCTTTTTTCTTCATAAATTTTTTCAGAGTTTAGACCTTGTTTTTTGTATAATTTTTATCTTGAACGAAAAAATAACAGATTATGTGTTTTGAGCCACAAGGGCTGTCTTGTGCGAGGACTCTTTTCCCATGTTGGTTATCAGAAAATTATCAAGCATTTTTAAAGCGTAGTTTTAAAGCAATTTCAAGTGGTTGAAAAAAGTGATCATTTTTTGAAATTGAAAACTGTCATTCAAAGTTATTTTATTTGATTAAAATTGCTTTGTAAGCAAAGAAAAATTTACACTGATTGAAAAGATGTGATTTTAGGGTAGCGTAAAGAATCGAGGAGGAAAAATGCTTGTTTTTATGAATGATTTGTAAATCAGTATAGCACAAAGTTTACTGATTTTACTCTTACTTAAAACGCGTAAGTGCAAAAGGACGACTTAAGTTCTGTGAAGTTTTGCAAGACCTATGACTTCGCTTGGCTCTGTAGTGGTGTTTTTCGATGAGTGCAATAAACATCACGTTCTAGCATCCTAAAAATTTCAGTTTGCTCAAAAGTATTTGTTTTGAGCATGGTATAGCGCATACGGTATTGTGTTTTGTGCAATATTCTTGAATAAAGTCAAATTTGTGAGGTCAAACTTGTGAGTAATTAGAAAAGAGTTGCTCTCAATATAAAATATTTGGTTAATCCTTACCATTGTTAACATCTTCTACAAGTTCGTTATCATCATAGCGGTGAAGTCACGTTTTCTGTCTTTGGCCGCTTGATATCATTGAAAAAAGAAGGTTATCTCAAAGATAGAAAGATAGGGAAAATTTTTCTGTATTAGTTAAGATATGAAGGAAGAGGGTTAATTTCTTGACAAGGGCAAAATTTAGTGGGTTAGTGAACTATGCACATGAGTGCAACCTATTGTCTGGCTAAATTTTGTTTTCAGTTCAAGGTCAATTTTCAAAGATTTCAAAATAACGTGTAAGTTGGCCGTTTTCCATTTTTGTAGCACTAATTATCTCTTCATTACTTCATTGATAAGATTTCGGCTAGCTTAACAGCATTTGAGAAACTAATTTTATAATGGTTTTTGAAAATGAAAATTGTAAATTCCTTTTTGATTCGAGAAAAGAAACATTAGTTTTTACTTCTTTACATATCTTGAAACAAATGATAGGAGATTAGCAGGTCTTGCAAGCTGTTTCTATTCCCCATAAAGAGAGCAATAGTTCTCAGCAATCAAAAGATTACATTAGGAAAAGACTGGCAAAAAAATCGTTGAAACATTATAGACAGAAAAAAAAACACGAGACAATGGGCTAGCCTTGATAATATCGGCAGAACCGAAAAAAAAGAAGAAACACTTTTTTTTCAAAGAAAAACAGTTAAAAAATGTTTTAAAAATTAAAGTTTTAGAAGTAAAATTTTAATTATTTGCCTGAAAAGTATGAATTGAAATTCCCGTTTCTACCAAAGTCGGTTTTCAAAAAAAAGTGTTATCAAACAAGATACTAATCAAGAGATTTTAAGGCTACACTTTGGGCTGTTTCTCATTTTTATCAAGGATGCTTTGTTAATTATGTTTTCATCAAATATAATAACTGCTTGGAATAACACTCTTAGTTTGTATTTCAGAAATGTTAATGAGTTTTTGTTCCGACTTTAGATACGAAAGTGACGGAATATTTGTGTTCGGGGTGGGTTTTTTTTTCTTCAGACAATTTCGACTTTTTAACTAGCCATTTTTGACGGAATTTTTTTTGCATCATTCGAAAGGTATTGTTGTCCTGAGCTCAAATTTGAATAGATATTTTACCTGTGATCATTTTTTGTAAAGTTACGGGGGTTTAAAGATTGCCATTTTGGCCAATTTGGGACAATTAACGCGCGATATATTTCGCGCTATTATGCGTAAGCGGAGATTTAATCCGTGTTAGAAATCTTTCCAAATTGGTTGAACGAAGCTTATTTGCCATAATTGATTTGTTGCAAGGAACGAAATCTATCTTTTTATACTTTATATGGCATGTGGGGGGATGATTTTCATAAAAAAATTCAAATTTTAGAAAAAAAATTCATTTCATTTTTTTCATTTATTTTTTTTATGTTATTACCGCTGCTCCATAAACCTTAAGAAGCAGTCGGAACATTCAGGGCTTCGCTCTGGTACGAGCAGTCTTGTTGTTCCGACTTTCGATACGAAAGTAACGGAATATTTGTGCTCGGGTTGGGTTTTTTTTCTTCAGACAAATTTCGACTTTTTAACTAGCCATTTTTGACGGAATTTTTTTATATCATTCGAAAGGTATTGTTGTCCTGAGCTCAAATTTGAAAAGATATTTCACCTGTGATCATTTTTCGTAAAGTTATGGGGGTTTAAAAATTGCCATTTTGGCCACCAATTTGGGACAATTAACGCGCGATACATTTCGCGCTATTAACGCGTAAGCGGAGAGTTAATCCGTTTTAGAAATCGTTCCAAATTGGTTTAACGAAGCTTATTTGCCATAATTGATTTGTTACAAGTAGCGAAATCTATCTTTTTGTACTTTATATGGCGTGTGGGGGGTTGATTTTTGAAAAAAAAAATTTTGAAAAAAAAATTTTCATTTTGTTTTATTACTTTTATATTTTTAATGATTTTTCTGCTCCATAAACCTTAATGGGCAGTCGGAACATTCAGGGCTTCGCCTTGATACGAGCAGTCTTGTTTGGTTTTTGTTATTAGCTTCGGATTTGAGGACCCTAATTAGGTTTTCTCAACTAAGTGACTTTTGTAATCAGTTTTTAATAATACTGACTCGCACACACTGTCAAACTTTGTATGATTCAAAAATAGTCTCTATAGAAAGCGCTGGTATTTTGCGAACTGTTCAATAACAATTTTGTTGAAAGTGCTATATATAAATGTTCCATTTCGAGTACAGGCGTAAGATGTTGTAAAGATTCCAGTAATGGTTTCCTGGCCAAATATTTTATCAATATATACCAAATCGCAGCGTTTTTGGCTAACCTTTGCTTAGTATGTACATGCTCTTTGAAATTTAAATTGCCATCAATAACCAAGCCAAAATAGGTAAACAAAAAATGTTGCTCTTAATATTTATTTTCAAAATTAGCGAGGCTAGTTGTATTTTTGTGAGTACCAAAAATAACCTTTTTGTCTTATTGCTAGTTCTTGTTAAATTTTTAGAGTGAACCAATTGTTTAATTTTTTCAGATCGTGACTGAAAATTGAATGGAACTTTTTAACAATGTTTCCTGTTTTAACAGTGTCATCGTTTATTATTAAAATTGTTTTTTTTGTTCGCGACCTTTGCCATTCGCGACCTTTGGCATTAAAATGTTTTCACTTGATCTTTCATTCGTATGAATTTTTCTTTTTGTATCAGCCTTCAATCATGTTTTTGAAACTTGGTAAGTAGTCTATCCTTTTTTATCAGTGAGTTCAATTTACCAGTTAACCACCTTTAATGTGCGTACGAATAAAATTTTGACGAGTAAATTGTATCAAACATTAGAAAACACAGTCTGATTTCTCTTGCTAGCGATTTAATGGATTTGAAATTGAAATTTTGTTAATTTTTTCAAATAAAAACTTTTTTTTTGCATTTTCCGATGACTAAATATGCCCGAATTTGTATCGCTTCTTACTGTTAATAAACAAAAATATATTTTTGTTTATTATTATTTATTTTTAGTGAATGCCCATTGTGCATTCACCGTGCATTTAAAATTTTTCTTAAAATAATTGATTATACCTTAGGTAAGCTTATATACACGGCAGGATGTTCCGGTTTCGTATAGCTTGTTATTAACCCTGTGATCGTGATCAACAAGCTTTTGATACTTAGCATTACCCAGTCTGACTTATTACAGAGGCTCTCAGATAAATGACGTATTAGATTTGAATCCAAATCACCTTGCACAATCAAGTCAATTTACTTAGAATAAAGTTCAATATCTCGCGTAACAATTTGATTTATCTATTGTTCAAGTCATTCAGTTTGTTTTGCTTCCAACATATACTCACGACCGTAGACTATATCCTTGACTACAAATTATACAAGTCTGACTGAAAATAGAAATAGCATTCGTTGGATAGTAAAAAATTAATTTTACTACAACAAACGAGCTTTTAATTTTCATTTAATCCTTCCTTGGCGAACAGTAGCCGATTATGCTTAATTTACTAACGTTCTAAGCTTTCGTCTAGTTCCTTTCATCATATCATGCATGAAAAAACGTTAATTTGATCCATTTCATATTATGCCAATCGCCAAAGATGCGTGAAGCCCCATAAATTGGCGATTTGTAGAGCCGGTTTGATTTTTTTAGTCTTTCATTTGGATTTCGATTTTTACTCTTCATAATTAAACTATTGGCCGCAAAACAGTAGCTGTACGTAAAAAGAAATAGCAAGTGGTTGGTATTAAAAACCACACTTACTAAAGCATGATTTTTCGGCCGCAGAACAGTAGCTGGTTCATAAAAAGAAATAGCAAGTGCTTTGGTATTAAAAACTATATTTAATAAAGCATTCATCTTTTCAAAGTTTTATCTTTTCAAAAAAAAAACGTTGAGCGTCATCAATTTCATATAGCAACAAATAATACGGCTTTATGAGACATCGCAATTATCATTTATTGCAAAATTTATTTGCTTCCTACTAAAATGGATGGAAATGTTGTCATCAAAGTGGGATTTTGGATCCGGGAAGGAAAATGGAAAAAACTTCAGCTTGACAAGCTTGTCGCTAAACCCCAAACAAGTTATATGAAAAGCAAACAGACAGTTGTTACAGTTAAAGTCACCAACGCAGAAGACGTCAATAATTGTGACGTTATCGTGATCAAAAGAAATGACAGACAGAATAGGGATAGTCAGATTATTCTGGAACGAATTCAATCATTGCCAGGAATTATTCAGCTGGACTCCGAAACCGACCAGATGATTTTGTTCAACAGGAATCTTACTTTCAACAAGCTAAACTCGGTCGCCAGCGACCTGGAGCCTCTAAACGTTATGCCTTCTTTTATGGTTCAAAACACTAACCACGTAGAGCAATTGCTACAGCAGAACTCATTAGTTAAGTTCCCATTTATATGTAAGCCAAATAGTCTCAAAGCTAATGAAATGGACCATCAGATGCAAATAGCTTACAACATGGACGAGTTAGAACGACTTGAAGTTAAGAGGTATCTGCTGCAACCACTGATCAGACATAAGGGACTCCTCAAGATCTTCGTGATTGGAAATGAATATTATATCGGAGTACGACCCAGCATTGACGATTTCGTGGCACAAAGTCAGTGCAAGGAGTTCAATACTTTCATGGTGAAAACTCTGGAAAAAATAGGCGAAGAATTATCCAAGGACCTGATGCGACACGTGGACGAAAATGATGTTCTCAACTTGATAACAGTTCTGGGAAAAGAGTTCAACCTATCCTTGTACGGAGTGGATCTGGTGATTTCAGAGGAAGGAACAGCATTCATCATAGACGTGAACATTTTCCCCGGCTACGCCGAAATGATATCGAAAAAGGGAATTGATTACGTGCACGAAGCTTTCATGAACTTAGCAGTGAAAAAATTCAACGACAACGTCATCCACGATCCTCACAAATCATCTTTGAATTTGAAAACTGAAGATCCCAGATAGCTGCATCAATTCATCGATTTTTTTTCTATTCAAAGTTTCTAACAATGGCGTGCTTAGAGGGTATAGCTCCATGAAATAGAATTTCCGAAAAATAGGGGACTATTTTGCTTAACCATGTTATTGTGATTATGATTTTCGACTAAGAAAAGTATTGAATTCAAATTTAACCGCATATAATTAATTAGGAAAAACGAATCTTTTTATTTCTACCAAACTTAACAGTCAATTAGCTACAAACCTTGTCGTGAAACGGTGCCAAAAGGAGTTATATTTTTGTAAGTATAATTCTTACTGAGAGCTAACACAACCCTTCCATCCACCATGTGGACCAAAACACGCTGTTGTCTTTCCAAATTGAATTTTTATTTTTACTTTTGAACTTGATGTATTTTTATTGTAAATAGAATTTTAGCTAATTTAGTGTTAAACTTGAGATCTACTGAGGATCAACCTTTTTCAAGAATTCAATATGTTCATCTGATTATTCTTTTCTATTTTTGCAAATAGATAATACTCACACATGCCTCACACCTGAGGGTTTTGTCGTCAACTATCACAATTCAATCATGATAACTGTGCTAACTCATGTGTGGCTGTGCTCGACCTATGCTTCAACTGAGCTTGACTTATGGTTCGAACCTCTGACGTCAACTTTATGCTCGATTTAAAATTGCTTCTCGACCGTGGATCTTCAGTCTCATAGTTTTTCCTGCTCACAGTTTTTCCTGCATTCTTTATTTTCCTTAAGTCAAAATAAAAAAATGCTCACACCAGCTTGGGCACATGCTTGTGTTACACGAAGAAATTCAATAGTTAAAAGTTCACACGAGTTTTGACATGTGACCGATGTGTAATCTCATAGCGAAGTTCCGCAGAGAGCAAACCGTCTGTTTGTCATGCAACTTTTTTTGCTAACGGATAGGTTGGTGCAACTCTTTAGTAAGAAGTCGGATACTGATCCTAATCATATCATTATTTGCTGATATCAAGAGATCTATAGAAATATCGGAGAACAAGTTTATTGAGAGATCAACTTTATTCTGGTTTTTTGATTTCTGGTCCATCTCTTAAGGCAGCTTTACAATTATTATTTACGCATTAGTTTGATTATGATTCATCAATGAAAAACAATTCGCTATCATTTTTGAATGTCTCAAAAGCTAGGAAGTGATCATATAAACAACTCAGAAGAAGTTTCACTAATCCTCCGCTTACAAAAATTTCTAAATTATTTTGAAATTGATTATTTGGTATGTGGCTTCTACATAAGATATCTGTATCGAGTTAGACGATGTTTTTTGTTTCACATAGTTGGTGATTTCCGTAGTTTTGGTACTTATGAAGTTGCATTTGTGGTAGTAGGTCGATGAGGGAAATTGAATTCCTAATCGAGAGACAATGTATACGGTTTCACGAGGAGAGAGTGTATCAAAGCTCGTTTTCAATTACATTTATCTATAGTTTGCTCCCATTTTTTGTGTTTGAATGCATGGTGGTTCGTTAAAACATGAAACATCAATGCTGCCACTCATAAAATTGATTCTCGTTTTGTCTGTGTCGCTTAGAAGCTGCTGGCGAGAACAGTCTTTCACAACGTTTTTCAATGCTTGGATTATTTTGAGCGTTAATATGACCATAACGAGACCAAACTGTGCACTGGATGTTTTTTTGCAAAAGCTTTTGTTTTATGTATATTTGTTGCTCACAAAAAATAAATTCGAGTATATAGAATATCAACAGGAGTAATTATACAAAGCGGAAACGATGCCGACAATCTTTGAGCAGTCATCAGTTGAGCCGAAAAGGGTTGATTTTATAAAAAATTCCTTCAAAAAACTACAAAGAACAACGCTTGCAACTATCATAAAAACTGCTTGCAGCAAAAAAAATCCCTGGTAGGGCATCTAAACAGAAGAAAATTTAAGCAGAAAAATGAGAACTCGACTACTGAATTTTTTACTGCAAAAATTTTTCAATTTCACTCATAGTGAAAAAATCTCAACTTAAGAAAAAAGACGAAAAGCACAGCCACTAGCATAAAGCAAGCTTTTAGTATATTCTGGGCGTATACAAAGCCAGCAACTCGTGGTTAGACATCAATTGATCTGAAACCAAAAAAAATCACCAAGAAAATTTTTGTCATAAATATACTTGAAAAAATTCAACAATTTATTTGAAAATACGCAAAACTCAATCTCAGAAACAAACGAGTAACACAAAAAGTTTAAATGTTTTACGGGCGTTCTTAAACCACAACACGAGGTTAGATGCCAAATGATCCAAAAACCATAAAATCATGAAAATGTCCTTAAATACTTGAAAAAAAAAATTGTATACATTTTTGGAATTACGAAAAAACGAGAAAAAAAACTCAATCTCAGTAAAAAAAAACGAGAAGCACAACCACTAGCATTAAACAATTATTGATATTATTCAAGCGTTAACCAGGTGACAACACATGGTTGGATGCCAATTGATGCGAGAACAAAAAAACCCAATGAAATTTTTGAGATAAAAAACTTCTCGAGTTTTGACTTTTTAATTCTATCTGCCCTAATTTATTGAAAAATATTGAATTCATATCCATTAGTCAATGTAAAATAAAGTCACTAAAATGACATCAAAATTTGACGCGATTTTATCTATATTTAGGCCGCCGAATAAAATAAGTCAAAACAAAAAAAATATTCAAAAAAAAACCGAAATATACCAGTCAGGGTCAGTACAAAAGATAATCAATGACACTTTAGACTTCAAGAGCGTGCTATAGATTTTTGTTGTTTAGGCTTTATAGCAACTGTAGTGTTGAATTAAAATGTGTTTTTATAAACTTTCTATCATTTTGCGATTAGTTAGCTTATTGTAGAGACTTTTTCTGCAGTGGTCAGCAAACATTTGCCGACTTCTGATGACATACTTCTTTGAGTTGGATTTCACGTGTGGGAAATCGATAATCGCATATCCGATATATATGATTTCTAAGACGGATTAAGCAAAAAGTTCCGTTAGTTTTGTTACGAAAGTCGGAACAAAAAAACTCGTTTTTACTAATTACATTTTTTGCGTTTTCACTGCTCCATAGACCTTAAAAGGCAGTCGGAACCTTCGGGGCTTCGCTTTGAAACGAGCAGTCTTATTTCTATTTCTGCTAAATTTTTTGACAAAAACCTTTCAGTAAATAAGAATTTCTATTGATTCTGATTGGTTGAAAATCTTTCATCATTCGGACCCTCCTTAGGAGAAAAGCCCTCGAATCAGGTAACCTCAGATAACCAATCGCACAAAAACGCTTTATTTCAAAAAACCCAAGGGCTCTGTACCACTCAGTCGGAGGGTGATGGTCCAACGTGCCGAAGTAAAAGTGTGCCTGAAAGCAAAGAAAAATTGTGAAATTAGATAATTTTTTCGGTCAAATATGGACTTCTCCGATTCAATCACGATTCAGTTTTAATCAAATTAAACTTTTGCTTTGACTTGAACTTCAACTCTAGTCTCAGGAATAATTTCTTCTCCCAATGGGTTTTTTCAGAAGTTTGTTTCGGCTCCAAAGCCAGTTTTATTCAGCTGGAGAAATTTTTGCTTTAGAGCAACTATATTGCTCGCATTTGTTCTCTTCAATCGCCTTGTTTTTTTTATTCGTTCATCTATCAGCTGAACTCCTTCCATTTCTTTATTCGTATTGCCGAAATCAGAATGTAATTCCTGAACAGCCAAATTAGAAATTAAACTCGCATCAGGGCAAAGCTGTGACAGTTCCATTCTACATCTTTGAAACAGTTTTTGGAAACGTCAATTTATGGAAAACAATATAAAAAAATTAGAAAAATGTTTTTTTTTTGGATTTTTGAAGCCCCCTCCTCCTGAGCCTAGTAACCTAACAATAACACCAAATATCTTGCCTCAATACAGTTTAGAATGATTCATGAGCGCATTAAATAGATGCTCACACGTTAATAGCTCGACTTATATCGCGCGTTAATTGTCCCAAATTAGCCAAATTTGCCATTTTAAACCCCCATTTCATTTTGAAAAATGATCTCAGGTAAAGGTAAAGTATCTTTCTGAATACGAGTTTAAGGCATCAAGGGCTTTCAGATGGTATAGAAAAAAGAAGTTCAAAAATCGCTGAATAAAAAGTCGAAAATGATCCTTGGAGAGCAAAACCACCCCGAGCACAAATATTCCGTCACTTTCTTGAAATGTCGGAACAACAAGAATTTAACACTTAGTTAACTAAAACGGGCAAAACATCATGAATGAAGTGTCGAGAGAGTTGAGCTAAAATCCAATCAAATAGTTTTAATTCATTGATTCTTTGATTTCAATCGTTAACTGTCAGTACGAAAAAGGGCCCTAATCGCTGCTTCGGTGCATATAAAAAAACAGTCCCATACAAAACAGTCCAAATAAAAAATAGTCCAGAAAATCATGAAATGAAGAAAAGTAAACAGTACAATACAAAACAGTCCGGGAGTGTAAGGAAGGGGGAATGAAGATATCTTGTGGGCATACTTGAATTCCCCGTTTCAGTGTATCTATCCTGACTTCATACTCTGTTTTAGTGCTCTCAAACTCTGCAGCCAAATCAGTGCACCCCCTCATTTGACTTAGTCTCGTCTCAAATTTTGTCTTCTGGGTCTCAAAGAAGCTGTTTGTTTTGTCCAATTTCACACGGGCAGCTGACAACTCCCTGAAGAAAATCAAATTGTATAATTTTCAAACCTTATGACCAATCAGTTCGTTCAGTGGCACGTACAAAAACTTTCAGATGGAGGACAAGTTTTTGAAAAATTTGGAGGACCGTTTTGATTCTTTTCTGAGTCAACCATTCGTTTTGATTCTTCTCTGAAGAAATGTCTCTGATGTTTGAAGATTTTTAAATAGACTGAACTTGAAGAATTACATTTTTACTCCCGTGGACTCAAAATTTGTTGACACAACGGGCACCGTAGGTGACTTAAAAAATGTACCAGATTCATGGGCCAAAAATTGACACATGC